GCTCTATCACTAGGGGTGTTAATGGGCCGAGCTGAGCCGAACTTTGGTCTTAAAAGGCTAAGCCTGTGTTTAAATGTGTCAGCCTGATCAAGCCTGTTATCTGTTATAAATATTATTATCGGCCTGTGGCCTGACTTATTTACAAAAAGTAAAAACTTGGTTTAGCCTTTTAGCCTATTTAAAAAAAAATAACAAAAATTTATCCAAACAGAATATACAATCAACAATACTAGTAGTTTCATAAATATCATAAATTTAATATATATCCAAACAGCGTAATATAGAACAAAATCATTCAAAAAGTCTATTTAACTAATAAAATGAGGTGAAATGGATTGAGGAGAAAGAGAGGCTATTACAAATAGTATAAAAAATATAAAATAAAAATATAAAATAATATACTAGGCCAGCCTGAGAGGCTCTCGAGCTGAGCTTTTGATTTAGAGTCTGAGGTCTTTTAATTAAACGAGCTTTTATACAAGTTCAAGTCTTGTGCCAACAACCAAATTTAGACATGTAAGTTCAGACCTTCACGAGCCGAGCCAAAGGCCTCTGAAAGGCCCCTGGCTCGTTTAGCACCCCTATCTATCACACTAGATATATCACAAACCAAGCTCCAAGATTATATGATAAATGCAGAAAATTAAGAAAAGGATATGTGTCAAAATTCCTAAAATTAATGCAACAAGGAAATTGGATATATCACAATAAAATCACGAATAATTGAAGTCACAAAATTAGATTCAAAATGCTTACTCAAGATATCTCATAATTTCATAATAATTCTTCTAATCAAAGAATAACAAAGGAAAATGAGTTTTCTTAAAATATACCACAATAGAGATTCACAAGAATCTAAACTGACTTGCTTCCACAAGAATCCAAAATTTTAGCTCCCAAAAACAGAGAAATGTAGATTGGTTCTTGAATTTAGATTCCAAAAAAAATGCTTCCAGTTTTCCAATCTTGAAGAACAATGAACAAAGTTCCTGGTGAGAAATTAAAAATAATGTTTTGCATATATTGTAGCATTTGATGTCATAATAATTTGAAATAGAAAATTAGTTAAGGATGATTCAAATTTCAAGTGTGGAAAAATAACAGTAATGCCTTTTATTCAAAGTTGTCTTTGTCTACAGCATATAGTTCATTAACTTTTCTAGCACTTCTCAATATTTTGATTTTGATTTTGACTTAAAGTATTTATTTGAAGATTGGATGGAAGTGAAGAATCTAGTATCTGCATTGCCTCCCTCGGTGAAGACTGAAGACTGAAGAGAGTTGTTATTGACTTCTTGTGTTGTGTCATCAGTCATGGAGGTAATCATACTTAATAATCAGTTCTTAATTTACAAAGTTCCTGTGACTTTTGCGGTATCATCAGTTGGCTTGCAAGAAAGCAGAATTCTTTTACTTATAATAATTTAGATTAGGGCCCTTCTTAAGTTTTAATAAGACATTAATTTAAACTTTTATTTAGTTTAACATGTAAATCATGGGTTATAAAAGACTTTTTGTTTCAATTTAAAATGTAATGCCAAATGAAGAATTAGCTCAAAATTTGATATTAACTTATATGTATATTAATATTTGCAATTTTGCATTGAATTACTGGTTTTCTGATGGCTACTCTTGATTCGAGATTTGGTTTCATTAAGAATAGTTACTACTTACTATTCTGCTCCTAACCTACATAGTCAATTGTGGCTAACTTATCCTATTTATGATAACTAGGACTTGGATTAGTGTTCCCGTTACAAGTTCAGCTGATCAAATAATAACTTGAATTCTGTCCTCCAATATTTCGTCAATTTAAAAGAGTGTCATTTACAATTTTAGATATCTAGTTTTTTTATTATATTTTAAATGAGAAAGATTATATTTACAATTTTTTTGTTTACAAACTACACTAAATATGACCGGTCATACTTCAATCAAAAGTGTATGACAGGTCATACTTAGTGTAATTTGTAAAAAAAGTTTGTAAACAGATCTTTTTCTATTTTAAATTATTTATTAAATGTTATTATATATTAATTATTATATTTGTGTGTTTTCATATTTTTAAGACAATCGTGGTTCAATACTTATTATGCCGTGGGAAGAAAGTGTAATTCTTATTAGAAAAGTTCGTGCCTTTTTATATATTTGCTTTGATATATAATCATTGCTAATTGTTCATTTTAATTTTTAATATTATGCGACATTATTTAATAAATGATTTAGATCAGTATGCTAAAATTTATAGTAAATTTTTTTCCTAATAAATTTATGCAATTACTATAAATATTTTGATAAATTAATGTGTAAATTTTTTTGGTACTAGCCTATCTAATTGTGTCATAATTTTGAAGTTCAACGTTCAAAAAAAGAATAGGAATATAGATTTTGAGAGTTTACAGTTTTCACATGATTATGACAAAGGGCATTAATCTTTATTTATGATGAAAATCAATGTTTACAGTTTGGAGTTGAGCACAAATAAAAATGTCTGATTTCTATCTGTATATATTTGTAATTTCAAAAGACACAACTAATCCCAATTCAACATTTATGAACAAAAAGTCACATTATTAATAACTATTCAATCATTAGTTTAATTGTTAAATCGTATACATTTATCATACATAAACATTTCTTACGATATACACTATGTTCCATTTTTCGTTTGAATATTTCTATCCCATAATTTCAAGTTTATTTTTATAAGTTTTGTTCAAACTACAATTTAGAAGTTCTGAATAAAAAAATTAAATACACTCTAAATGGCTAGATAAGTTGTCCCTATTATATATAAACTAATGTTAATGACGTGATTGACGTCCCTGGCCGTGGCTGTGAGATGGCATTGTGACTTTGGAAGCATAAGTCCGAACAAAATGAATCCCTGTATATAAATTTTATTTATATAATAAAATTTATACTTATTTTTCCTTCGACAGATTTTGATAAATTTTCATAATGCTCATTTATTAAATATTTATGGACATAAATTTTTCACTATATATAACCTGTGAGTGAGAGGATTTATTGCCAAAGTCCAACATCTTTCGGATTCAACGTAGGGGTAAAGATTCAATCACAAATTACGGTGCAAGCAACGCACACGCGAGAGGGGAGGTCAACGACTTGTGAATCTGTGTTATAAATTGAATGGCAGCTATTTGAGAGCAAAAACCAAGACATGAGTCATGAGATGAGACATAATCTTTTGTTTGCTGGAAAGAGGAGACTATTAGCATATTTGATATTCATTTGAAAATCAACTTTAACTTAAACGAGAAAGTAAACATGTGGGGACTGGAGAGCACTTATAAAGACACCATTAACGAGGTGCACAAAGGGGGAAAAAAATGCAAATTAAAATTCATGCTTGTTTCAATTAGTTCAAATTGTAATCACAAAATTGATGAAAACAAAAGCAAAGAATCTCCTCTCGGCTAGTTGTCACCTATCCGCATCCATTTGTCGTTTTCTTGGTTTATAAGTAAGATTTATACCTACAGAATCCCACATGCTAGCATTGTTCTCAGTGACTGACTGAGTGGCGTTAGCTGTGGAACTTGCCTAAGAATAAAAAGCACTTTCTCTTTACTCTCTCTCCTCAATAATTTTTGCATGATTTTTTTTTTTCCACTATCGTTTACTGTTATGGGTTTTCAACAAATTGTTTATAACAAGAAAAAAAAAAAAAAAAAGCATGACAGTTTTACGAGTCACTAACAACGTGACATGTTTGTTTTATACGTTGATTTACATTTTGGGCCTCCAGAGCCCAAAACTTGAACGTGGACCTGGAAGCCCACAGTTGCAAAACTACACGTAGTCTGAATCACCTGCTTTTAAGTGGCTGGTGGAGATGTTGACCCAAAAAATAAATGAAGAGATGTTGAGAATAAATTTTTTTAGTGCAATCGATATATCGAAGATTCGATGCGAGTGTGATGCACTCATACATGTAGATAAAAAATATCATATTATCTGATTGATTTTTATTTAATTCTCTCTTTCAATTGAGTATCTTTGTGCCCAAGTACTCCACTCATCTAGAATAAATTTTAGGTGTATGTGTTGCCCCTAGATTTATTGCATCTCATCAACGAGAGCATTACACGTCAAAGGAGAGAGAGAATGTGACAGAAGACAAAATTTGTTGGCTGACATGTAATATTTACATTGATGAAATGCACTAAATCTTTGGTGCAACATTAACACCAAAGTTTTATTCACTCACCTTCTACCCAAATCCAACCCAGCTTTGATATCATTGTCAGGCGCATTCAGGAGAAATTTGTGATTCTAACACCATCTCACAACACAAAACCCATAGATCCATGCACTTAGGGATGTACATGGGTCGAACTGAACCGAATTTTTTTAAAAATCGAACCGAATTGGTTTAAACGGTTCGGTTTGAAAATGGTTCGGTTCGGTTCAAAATTGGTTCGGTTCGGTTTGAAACCGGTTCAAGTCGACCCTATTTTAAAAAGAAAAGAAAAAATTAAAATTTAAAATATAAAATTATAAAAATCAATTTGGTTTGGTTCAAAATCGGTTCGGAAACGATTCGGTTCTTAAATTGATTCTAAAAACTGATTCGGTTTATGAACTGATTCTTTAAAAACCGGTTCGGTTTATGAACTGATTTTTTAAAACCAATTATTTTAAGTGCAGTCTAATTCGATTTATGATTCAGTTCAATTTTTTAGTTATTTTACATATCCTTGCATCCACTTAAATACTTTCACTATACCCGTTGTCAACTAATGTATGTCACTCATCATATTTGAAAATCTTGAGTGCATCGCTTCCACTAAATATTTATTAGTTGAGGTGGATTGCAAGCAACACTGAGAAAAACGTGGAAACGGAAATGAATAAAACTAAGGTCGTTGTTGCCAAAATATGATGTAAGAAACAATCCAAAAAAGCAAAAGGCAAAGTGCATTAATCGAATCCCGATTATTGTTCATTGGTCACAAACACACACTCGTTTTACGCATAAATACGTTAAAAAGCAAACATGAAGAAGAAAGCTTTGTCTATTTTGATGCGCGCCAGAATGAGGCCCAACGATCGTACCAACCTTTCTCTATCTCCTCTCCCTCTAATTGTGAGTAATCTCGCAATTCCAGTTTAATTCACGCCTTTGAATTTCACTTTTGCAGATTTGACTCCACTCACCACCATACAGTTGTTTTTGATTCAATTTCTATGCAAATCGATTCGATTCTGTGCGTAATTGGTTTTGAATTCGATTCCCCGTTGACTCTTTGTTCCTTCGATTGCGTTGAATGTGCAACAGAACGTGGCGAATCAAATGAAGCAGCAGAATTCCCAGAAAAACGAATCGCCGGAAGAAGGAAATTCAGTGCTTAATGACTCCGGCAACACCGAGAGGTTATTATTATTATTATTATTAACAATATTATTATTATTTTCCCACACTCTCGGAATTTGCATGCTTAACTTTTATGCTCAATTTTTTTTATTTTTCATTTTTTAATTTATGCGTTGTCTTGACTTATTCCTAGGGAGTTTAAGCGTGTCCGTGACTCAATGCATTCTGCCATATCAATGAACAAAACGGAAGTTCTGGATGACGTGCTTAATAACTTCTCGGAGGTAATCTCATCTTAGATTTTATGGCATTGAAGCTTTCTTAATTTGATTCTCTTATTATCATTGCTTATTTCATTTCCACAAGCTGTTAATAATGCAGGGATATTTTAGCCTTTCACATGAAAACCGTCGCAAGTTGCTCCTTGTCCTTGCTAGAGAGTATGATCTCAATAGATCACAAGTTCGCGAACTGTTAAAACAGTACCTTGGACTTGAACTTCCTGCTGGTGAGTGATTTGTGTATGTGTTTGTGTTTAACTCTTTGCATTATTATTTTCAAAACTGTGGTGTGAGAAAAGTGATTGGGTTATCAGACAAAGCTCAGGTGAATGGCTCCGAAGAAGAAGGCTTGTTTTCTTCTTTCTATCGCATTGAGTGGAATTTGAGGCATGCCCTTCAGCCAGTTTATGAAGTTCTCTTTGAGCGTCTTAACACTCATCCTGGAGGGTTGAGGTTCTTATCCATTCTTCGAGCAGATATCCTATCTATTCTCGCGTAATTTTTCTGTGCCTCTGCTTCCTGTAATTTATTTATCTTGCAATGACACTAGGAGCAAATATCTTAGTTACTTGTTGATTCTTTAAAATATAGTGGATTCTTTGTTAGAGAATTTAGATACTGATTGTCCTACAAACCTCTGGCACAAGGCTTTCTGCTATGAGAACCTTAAAATAAAATAAAATTTATAAAATGTGTGAATTTAAGTACCTACAGTTCATAACATGCTTTCTGATGGAAAAGATAAAAGAAAGATAAGACAAGGTTCAACTTTACTTTCCCGAAATTTTGAATATGATGATTCAATTCTTCCACTACACAGAGAGGAAAATATTGCATCTTTGAGAGCATTGGATTCTTATTTAAAGGAAAAGCTTAATACGTGGCTTAGTCCTGCTGCCTTAGAGCTTCACCAAATTACGTGGGATGATCCTGCATCTCTGCTGGAGAAAATTGTTGCTTATGAAGTACTGTTTTCCTTTTCATCTATTGAATTGTCATTTAATGTAGCTCTTGTCCTCCATTGTATGCATAATCTTCATTATCTTGTGTAGGCGGTGCACCCTATTAGCAACCTTCTAGATCTTAAGAGAAGGCTGGGAATTGGCCGTCGTTGTTTTGGATATTTACATCCATCAATTCCTGGTCAGCAGTTCTTCTCGCACTTGGTTCATGAAAGATAATTCTCTACTTGGCAATATCTGATCCATTAAACTAGTTTTTGTATGGCTTCTCTTCAATTTAAGTTTGTAATAGCTTGAAAACAACGTGTTTTCATTGATGATGTCATTTTACAAGACTTTTCTGACAATGCTTGGTAGCCAATTTTTTTCAAATAATCTATTAGCTTATCTGATATTGCAACTTGCATTTGTTGTTACTTGTTACAGTTTTGTAATTTATACTGGTGCTTAATAATTAACTTTTAATTAACATCTCAGCAGTCATTGTTTTCACCTAAATCAAATTATGAGTCTGCATCAGCTGAGCAAGTTAGTGACAGCAATACTGATAGAACAATGGTTGCTTTCAAGGTGATTGTATTACATGGACAGTACACTTGTATTTCATTAGTCTAATGTCAAGTAACTTGAAAAATTGAATTTGGTGCTACTGTTTTCTATAGTCCATTGACTCTATTCTTTATACATGATCAATTTGACCCTGTGTGACCCAATGAATTTCAGTGGTTGACAATGTTGTAGTTATATACCTGTTCTCAAATTTTAATGTGTTTTTTGGAAATAGTGATAGTGATTAGTATGTCATTGGGAACTATGGGAGTCAACATATTATTGGAAAGATTAGAGGCATAGGAAATATTTTAATTATTTATTCTTTTATGTAGATAAATATCAAGGATGCCTAGTGCTCTCACTCAAGCAATTTGCAGAACTTCTGTCTAATTTCTAAAAGTCTATTATTAAAGTTTATGCAGTGTGTTAAACTCTTTTATGTGCTTTGGTTTTTTGTTTTTCCTTAGGTGAACCCCTAATTTTCATTGAAGTCGCACTACTGAAGAATGTGGCTCAGACTATACAGGTTAATTTTGTTTGAATTTATCTGAAACAAACCCTTTTTTAGTACCTTGTTTTAAACATTTTTTCTTCGTTTCACAGGAAGTTTTGTGGGATAGTCCTCCTATACCTGAAAGTGAGGCAACATGTGCATTGTTCTACTCTATATCATCAACTCAGGTATGCTATATATTATCAGTTAAAGCTAGTGGAAATTTGATAATATATCAAAAAAGTTATTAATTCTTTTATTTTTATTTTTTTTGTAGATAAAGAGTTGTTAATTTTTTATCTGTGCCTCATTGGGAAAATTGAACTGTGCCTCATTGGGCTTTTTATCTGACTGGCATTTATTGCTACTATTTGTTTAATTTTCCTTTTATCTTCTCTGATCTGTTTTATTTATGTTTGCACATTAGAATTTAGATTTATTTGCTTTTTTGGTTTCTACTACTGTCAGTTTCTCCCCTTCCTAACAACTCCCTGAAGAAAAATGCAGGATATAGTTTTATTCCTGATTGGCATAATTCTGAAACTTTTGCAGCCTGGCTTATCAGGGATCAACTTAGGAAAGTTTCTTATCAAACGTGTCGTAAAACTGGTGAAAAGAGAGATGCCACATATTTCTGTAAGTATTTTACCAATTTGTGGAGATCTCTGAATTTGAAAGGTAGAACCAAATGAAATTTATTGCTTCATGCATCGTTGTTAGTATCGCACGATACGCGATACGTATTGTGTGATACGATACGATTTAGAATCTCTGGTTCTCCACAATACGTATCGGTTGGTTGTATCAGAATGAGTCTTGTATCAGACTGTGTAGCGTTGTATCGTACGATACAGTATCGAATCGTGTATCGTATGATACGAAATTCGAACTAAAATAGGAAATTTTCATACAAAAAAAATCTATTAATTGGGAAAAGTAAATAAAGATATAATTTTTGATTTAAATTAAAAAAAATCTGAAAAATCATTATTAATAAGGGAAAGAAAAAAAAGATTTGATTTGTGATTTAATTTCTAAAATCAATCAGCAAAAACCAATATTAGTTATGTCATTGATAGATGCTGATAGTGATAATAATAATATTAGTTTTGATGATTGATGAGTAGGAAAATAATAGGTTTGAACTTTAGTTACTTATGTATTTTGTTGATTGGATTCTTTTTGGAATTTGGATTTATATGATATTATATATTTTTAAATTGTTTTATTATGTTTTTGTATATTACGATTCGTGATACACGATACAAAAAACCAGCTGAACAATACATGATACATATTGCGATTCAACAATCTTGGCTTCATGGAATTTGTAAATGCATAACATTTAATCAATATCATTCTACTTAAGTTTTATTAACCCATAATTTCATGCTTTTTTCCTTGGTTTTGATATGAATGGTATTGTCAACAACAAAAAGTGTGTTGGTCATCTTTTTACTTTTCTATTTTAATGGGGAGATTTTCCTAGTACATTAGTACAACCTTCTCGTTTCATTCTTTAAATCCTAGGTTTTTAAAGCTGCAGATTTCTTTACTCACTGTTTTCAGAAGAGGGCTAGAAAGGCACATGGCAATTTGCCAACAAGACTATTCTCTCAAAATGATATTTTGCTTCCATCATTCTAGAAGAGTAGAATCTTAAAGTAATATGCTTAATCTCAGTAGTTTTTGGACGCTGTAAGTTATGAAAATTCCTTGTCAGATGCCATGTTTCCTTGGATACTGCCATATCTTATGTATTGAAGTATACTTATGCCCTCCCACATTTAAGATTGCTGACCAATTTTTGCTTCTAGACCTTTGCAACTCTCAGTCCCATCCCAGGATTCATGCCGTGGCTCTTATCCAAGTTGGCATCTCAAGCAGTGCTTGCTGAAGGAGACATGTCACAGCCACTGGATGAGGGACCCAGTTCCACTTTCTGTGAGAACATACTTAAACCAGAAGAAGAAGAAGCAGTTATGAGTTTACCTAAGTATGCTACATACTGTTCTACTTCTATCTGCATATTTTTTGTAATGCTATTCTTTGATATTCTTTCGCAGCTCCGCTAGTTACTTATTTGGAAGTTACATATTACGGTCAAGAAAACTGTCCCAATTGCTGCATTACATGTGTTTTTTATGTATTTCTTTCTTTTTTTCCCAATCATTCAATAATTGCCATATTTTATCCTTTTATGATCCTTGGTTGTCATTGCAAAGAATCATATTCTAATTGTAGTGCACTCAAATTTCTTTCCCTACGTGCCTTGGATATTAGTGATGACAATTATTGTTTATAGTAACTTCTATTTGCTCTCCTAATTTATCTCTGGTGTCACTATCATGCGACTAATATCAATATGAGTTGCAGGGATATTGCCCCTGGAAAAGACGGAATGGAAGTTATCTTCAACTTGCTTACTTCTACATCCTATAAGTGGATCCATTCGCCAGAGCTTCTGTCAGCATTAAAACCCCCTTTGATGCGTTTATGCACCAGGTATTGCGAACAATTTATGGGGAATAAAAGAAAGCCATGTTAGAAGTGACTTCTTTGAAATATTGCATTGAGATAGGCGGCTGGCTACACCTATAATTTATAATTCATGGAGAAGTAATCAGAAAACTTTTTTGATTCTTTTTGTATCACAGATACCTTCTGCAAGAAAAGAAAAGAGGAAAAGCTTTGGACTCCGTAGCAAATTTTCACTTGCAAAATGGAGCGGTATGTCTTGCAAGCATGATGTACAACTAATAAACTTCTGTTATTGGAAATGGCATTTTCATTATGAAACCAGTAGTTTCTGCATTGCACATTATACTCTATAATATGTTTTGACATCTTTAAAGGTTTTTTCACTGAAGACATTGTATGGTTTATTATCTTGGCATTTATTTCTATCAGTAATTTTATAAGACAAAAGTGGGAGTTCATGCAGCAAATCTATGTCCTAGCCACAAATAACCTACTTTTGTAATTTAAGTAAATTGGCACTAACAACTTTTTGCTTCTCAATATGGAACAGATGATTGAAAGAATAAACTGGATGGCAGACCGATCAGAAAAAGGCCTTTCTCAAAGTGGAGGCATCATGGTGAACTATGTCTATAGGTAATCGTTCTCATGAAATTCTGGATCTTGTTTTTGTTCTTACCTAATTATAGTTGCCATTATATTTATGATGTACCCTGTTATTTGTTTATATAAATCTTGTTTGCTTAATTAAATTTGAAAAGTTCCGCCTTACTTCATCTTGATTCTGTTTGTGAAGTTGGGGAACAAATTTTACCAATAAAAGGAGGAATGACTGTACTTGTCCTTTCATCACTTTATGGGTTTCTTTAATTATTAATATCCATATGGATGGATTTGAATAAGATGAATTCAATTTTAAATTTCACTTCACTTGATCAAGTTTGAAGTATATGCTGCTGATGAGACCTAATTGCAGTCTGGAGCACATAGAAGAATATGCTCATTCATACTTCAGCAATGGCGAAATTCATGCTTCAAGTGATCTCCATCGCTGTGTTGGGGTAATGGCTTCTGCTTAATGTCGGTTCAAGTTTGATATAACATAAACTTCAACTAATTTTCACAAATATCATCTGTGCATGTGGTTTGGAAACAAAGCTCATTGACAGCAGACGACCTTATTGCTATTAAGCTTTTCCTTTCTTTGTCTCTCTCTCTCTCTCTCTCTCAATCTCTTTACTGTCATTTTCAGCCATAGAGTGATGGGAAATCAGGAAGTCTGCTTCGCCAGAGTATACTGGAAAAGTTTTATCAAAAGAATGCGACAAATGCATTTATGTCTAAAAATGAGGAAGCTTGTATCTTTAATTGTTGATAATTTCTGTACAGAGAATAAAAGGCAGCTGATTGCATATTTAATCCAACTCTTGGTGAAATATGATAGGAGACAACTTGCTAAATTGCCCTGCGTTATTTGGTCGTAGATGATGGAGAGGATACTCTTGCACGACATAGGAGAAAAGCTATGATGAGTAGTTTATGCTTGGTAAACCTCAAGCTATACAATATGATGTATATTTGTAGTACTATCTTAACATCATACTCTTTAGCGAAGAGTGAGATACTGTTACTGAAGTTTAATTGAGTTTTGGTTGGAGATCATGAAGTGTAAACTGTCACAGAGGAAACTGTTCCTTGAAAACATTGAGGATTGTAGGTAATACTTGTTTGCTTGTTTCATCGTTGGACAGTGTTTTCAATTTCAGATGTAAGGGAGAATTAATTACATTCAAATCGGTCAATGCTTTTTTCAGAATCAAGCCTTTAATAAGATATTTTACATCTGCTCGAAATGGTCTTATTTTGTAAGTAACAGGCAATTCAGGTACTCCAAAGTATCCCAATCAAGTCATGGAGGGTTCAGCAATATATTCCGTTGATTATCAATTTGTATTACAGATTACTCCAACCATTTATGATCTAACTCGATTTTTCATATCATAACCTTGCTAATACCGGGGTATAAAATGCATCGAGAACCATTTAGATGAGTTCTTTCCAGAAGATTGCCCGAGCTCGTGTTCGATCAAAGGGAACGAAGGGGCTAGTTCATTGCTGCAGGCGTATTCACTTCTCGGTTTCACCAGGACTGGTTTCCAAGACATAATCCCTCATAAGCCTCGTGTTAGATTCAGTGACCATCTACATGAAAATAAAGCCAGAAACAATCCCATGCATTTATACAGGAAGTTGAATAAATTTCAGCAGGATCAACATCCTGAATATAAGAAAACATTATTGAATTACAAACCTTAAAAGCTAGGCGCTTCAAGTTGTCCCATTCAAAATCATTTTTGCAGTATGCTGTTCGCACCTATAATAAAACATCATAGTACTTAATAAGAACTTGGTTAACAAGTTATGGAAAAGCAAATAATAAAAGTAATCCACTTACCTCCATTATGCGTAGGGCTATTTATGTATATGCCAGAGCCACACGGCATCAGTTTGCAAGATTTCGTTCATTCAATCACCACAAAAGAATAGTTGTAAGTTAGATATTAGACACCGATTAAGGATTGGGTAGCTTGATAACTGTCTTTACCTAATTTCTTATGCCTTGATGATTCTCTAAACATACTGGCGCAGAACTTGTCACCATCATTCAACGGGTGTCTAGCCAGGAATTCCATTAGCTCTTGATATGCTTCAGGATTATAATCCTGCTCAGGCAAATACTTATTGGCTAAAAAAAACAGCATTAATAATGATATAAAAAGAGCTTAATTTTGATGCACTGTGAGGCATTTAAACTGTTATTTAACCAAAAATGATAATTATATAAAAAGAGCTTAATTTTGATGCACTGTGAGGCATTTAAACTGTTATTTAACCAAAAATGAATTCGACAATACATCATTATATGATGTTATAAAACTTTTTGGTACTGTCAGGAGTCAGGGCATTCAAATTAAGTTCATACAGAAAACAGTTTTATACCAATAACTTGAATTAAATTGCACCACCGTGCACCAAGTTAAACCCACAACACAAATTATTATCTGGCCTTGGATCACATTGGCAATTGATTAAAGGGAATCACATTGGCAATTGATTAAAGGGACTAAAAAAACTAAATAAGTGTGAAACTATGGGAGCTAAAAGGGTATTTAAGCCTAGTCCTATTAAGTAAGTTTAGCTTATTTAAGTCCACAAATTGCGAAAAAGAGAAAAGTGACTTAAATGTCATACTTTCCCAAATTTGTTCCGAAATGCCACGCGAACGAACAGTACTTTTTTATCATACTGCCACACATCTAAATTCGCTATGATTGATAGCGAATTCGATTTGGCCACGAGAACGAACAACACTTTTTACCATATGTTCCCATTAGCGTACCAAATTCGTTACCAGTTGTAGCAAATTTAGTAGCCTATGATTTCATTACACGTAGCAAACTTTCGCAAGAAAAGACTGACGGCATGTGGCATGTGTAATAAAAATATTTTTTATTAAATTATTTTTTAATATTTTGTCCAAAAATGTATCCGTTGCTTCCCTCCAAAATTTCGAACCCAAACGTTTCTACCCGCCAGTTTTTTGAGCAATTTTGAACCGAACCGGTTCTTCCCTTTCGCGAACCGGTCACCGGTTGTGTCTGCTCGTCGAACCGGTCACCGGTTGTACCTGTTCGTCGGAACGGTCACCGTTCGCCGCCGTCAGACACGCCAGTTCGCCGCCGGCGACTGTTCATCGTGACCGGTCAGTGTCTATAAATAGACACTGACACCTTCAGAAAATGGATCCAATTTTTCCTGCACTGAAACTCTGCCGGAATTTTTCTCCTTCCGGTTTGCATATTCCTTTTTCATATTCCGGTGTAGTTTCCTCTAGCATTCAGTTGTGTTCGTTTGGGCTGTTGACTGGTAGTGCCACCACTCTTCAGACGAAATCCGTTCTATCCTGGGAGACAAGTTTCCATCAACCTTTAGCATCAGTGAGGGGACAAATTGTCTTAAGGAGACACGTTCTGTGGGCTCGGATTTTATTCCTCTGATTCTGCATTTTTCATTCTTCTGATTCTGTCTGTTTCATACATATCAAGTAAGTTTGTTTTTAATATTTATAATTGCACAGTGATAATTCTGATTATCTACCCCTTCTGTTCTTTACATGGGTTCAAACCTCTTAATGATTTAATATCACCCACTGTCTTCAATAACAACATGGTCTAACCAAATTCACTACTAGTCATAGCGAATTTGAACAAGTGACAGTGAACAGTACTATTTGCATAGCATTTAGGCAAAAAAAAATTAAAAAAGTGTCAATTTGGTCACTATTCCCAAAAAAGAAAACGATAGTTTTTTTTACCGACATATCAAAATTTTAGGAGCAATATTTGTCCAGAAGAATTATTGGTTATATTAAGAAGGTATGTGAAAGCTTTTTTCTAAAGTTTGAAGTAATCAGAAACTAAATTTTCTTGTAGATAATGCAAAATTGTATGAATTTTCACAGTTAAAATAAGAATTATGATCAATGCACAGTTGTTTCAAAACGATCTTGGAGTTCAGATAAAAAAACAACAAGGGAAATTTTTAGGATGGTAAAAGCTATTAAGCAAGTTCTTAGTTCTCTAGTTTCAACTGCTCATGACAGTAATTAGAACCAATACAAGCCAGAACACAAACAGAACCCAACAAAGCCAATAAGTAGGAGTGGAATGAGTAAAAGGAAGAGGAACCTCAAGTTGAGCAGCAACAATCTTAACTGCAGTGTAGGTGAAGAAATTGTGGAGGTTTTTAGCAGCCTTTGCTTCTGGTGATGCTTCTCCAAATCCTGCATCCAAGTAAAACATAACATAGTACATATTATTGGAAATTTGGTATACAATGAAATACAAAGGGGAAAAAAGCAAAACCCAATACAAAGAGGAAGAGGGAAAAAGTTGTAACCCAACCAGGTACAAACATCTTATTGCAGTGTAAGCGTGTGGGTTGAGAGCTCCTTCGCTTGCAAGGCCAAAAAGGATAACCTTTGTTGCTGCTGGGTATTGTAGGGAAGACATAAGGAAGCTGAGAAAGTGGTATAGTTGCAGAGGATTCCATAGCTAACAGCATTTGTGTAGTGAATTGAAGAAACGTTTTAACTTTGGTGAGGTCAAAGCTGTGAAAATACTATGGCGGGTTATGGTCTCCACCTATAGAAAAATATCTCGAGGCTTCAATTCCCCATAAAGAAAATATCTTGGAGCTTAAGTGGAGAAGTGGAGCACATTTTCAGTGTTCGGGTGTAGATTGTCCATTTCTTAAAATGTAAAAGAAAAATTACTAAAAAAAATAACTAAAAAAAATAACCATAATAAAGATAATGTAAATATATATATTTTTTATAAGAATATAATTTCTTAGATTGCATAAAATAATTTATATATATATATATATATATATATATATATAAAATATGTAAAAAAAAATTCTATATTTTTTTTTTTCTCTCCACTTTTTAATGAGTTTCATTCATTTTTTTTATAATTACGTAAGATAATTTATTTTGTAGAGAAATAATATTAGCTTTTTTACATATACCGAAAATATTTTTGGAGAAGTGGGAACTTTTACATCCGAGGGGAAACCCACTATTACATTACATATCTGTATTCAAGGAGCCTCTCTTTCTTCATGAAGCGCTTGTTCTGGACATCGATAGACGAGTACTTAGTCTTAGTTGTTAATTATGTTGTTTTGATTAGTTTATTTAAGAACGCGCGCGCGCTCACACAAAAAGTGATTATTTTCTTCTACATTTTTTTTTTGAACCAAACATGCATTTGGACAAGTGCTCAGACTTTTGTGCATTTTTACAACACGTTACCAATAACTCTGCCCTCCATTTCTTCCTCATCTTTCGGATAGGAGAGAATCTGGTTTTTGACCTTACAAATGCATTTTTTTTGAGATATTCTATTAGTTTAATTTTTTGATCAAATTTATTATCAAACTAATACAGGTTTAAATGTGCACCTGATATAGATGTGACCAAATGTGCATGAACATGTACAGTGTGACAGTCATTTTTGTTAGAAACACGTACTTGATACTGATGCTATTAGACATGAACTGTACATGTTTAGATTGTCTTAAACACGCATATGGTGATGACATGACTAAACACATAGTCGTTACGCATCTTGCCATAGCACTATAGTAATATGTTAAATTGTTGGAAATAATCAAGTATGAGTTGTAAAGAAGTACCACATAGACTAGACATAGATCAAGTGAATGATCATATAAGTGCAAAAGATCCATAAACCTACAGTCTTAAGGTTTTGGGTTGAGATGTGGTGTCGGCTCACTTATTATGGTTTGTCATGTAGTCTATTGGTAGATGTACCTTTTGCAAAGAGTTTTGGGCTCCCTCGTTCCATTCCCAACAGTGGTATCGGAGCCAACGATCTGGGCCAAGTGTTTGGAAGGCCTCTGCAGAAGGCTAGTGTGACCCAAATATTTGAAAGAAAAAAAAAAGACTTCCGCAGAAGTTGCCCTTTGGGTAAGAATGATGTTGGGCTTCATACTTGAGGGAGGATGTTGGAAATAATCAAGTATGAGTTGTAAAGAAGTACCACATAGACTAGACATAGATCAAGTGATGACCATATAAGTGCAAAAGACCTATAAACCTACATCCTTAAAGTTTTGGGTTGAAATGTGATATCGGCTCATTTATTATGATTTGTCATTTGGCCCATTGATAGATGTACCATTTGCAAAGGGTTTTGGGCTCCCTCATTCCATTCCCAACAAATCTTGCTATAGCACTATGGTAATATATTTGATCATAAAATTAAACCGGTGGAATATTTCAAAAAATGCATCGGTACGGTCAAAAGACCAGAGAATATATTGTTAATGTTATGTATTTATTGCCACTCAAAATATCAATTGTTTCTTAATTTATATATATATATATATATATTGGTATCCTATTATTAATTTGTTTATTATCACTTCAATTTTATCCAAACTTCTTGCTATTAATTTAATAATTAATTAATTTAAAAATATCTTAATTTGTTTACTGTCACTTTTTTTTATGTGCCCACCAAATATATTATTCATTTATTATTTTGACCTGAAGTCTTAAATTACTTTTCCTAAAGTTTTCTTGACACTATACATGCCTAAATAATATATCACTCAATAATATTAATGAAGAACAATGAAACAAACCACAATATAGAAGCCACATACATAATTTTTCACTGTCCATTTATTTATTAAACAAATATCAAATAAACCCATCATATCAAAAATTGTTCGTACAGAACTTTTAATTTTTCATATTAGTTTTACGGGCAAAAGCACCCATCTAAGAACATTTATGGAAAGATACACTTAGTTAAAGCACTTTCCAAATGTTTAACCAAAGTAAGGCAGTCAATGACGTAGGAAGACTTGACGTGATTAATCCCGTCACCAAGGTTGACGTAACAGGCCTCCATGTCAGCCACGCACTTCAATGCCGTCACTTGGTGAGACGGCACTAGTGCAGCAAAAATTTTGATGCCACTAGCTCTTATTTGTTCCATTGCATCTGCAATTTTCGTTCTCTCTCTAAAGCATTTTTCTCTCCTTCTCTCAAAAATCTCTCATCTAAATCGGTTGCCACTTTCCTCTCTGTTACCTGAACTCTCTTCGCTGCATGTTCTGTGAGATTTCCCTGCCAACCGAAAAAGGTATGTTGTGTTTGAATTTTTTTTTTTAACTTTTTGTTATTTTTTTTTTGTATATATTATTTACAAAATTTTAGGATATATATTTAATTAGAGAAATAAATAATAAAAATTATAATTAGTGAAATAATTAAATAATAATTATAATTAGTTTTTAATTAATTAATAATTGAAATTTGTAAAAGCTTAGGTTAGAAACCTAATTAGTGAATTTATCATTAATTATTGTAAATTATTTTATATGTTAATTATAAAACCTTAGGATAGATGTCTAATTATTAAATATATTTGTATATTAATATTTTTATGTCAATTATAAAACCTAATTAGTGAAATAATTAAATAATTATTATAATTAGTGATTAATTAATTAATAATTTAAATTTGTAAAACCTTACAATAGAAACCTAATTAGTTAGTTAATTAATTAATAAACTAATCATTAATTGTTGTAAATTATTTTATATGTTAATTATAAAACCTTAAGATAGATGTCTAATTATTAAATATATTTGTATATTAATATTTTTATGTCAATTATAAAACCTAATTAGTGATTAATTCACATATTAATTCACTAATTAGGTTTCTAACCTAAGCTTTTACAAGTTTCAATTATTAATTAATTAAAAACTAATTATAATTATTATTATTTATTTCACTAATTCACTACAACAAAATTTCTCTTTAGCCACGGCAAAAACCGTGGCAAAATATCATTAAAATCGTGGCTAAATGAGTTGTCCACTGTTTTAAAAACCGTGGCTAAAACTGGCGTTGCATTTTTTTAACCACGGTATTTTTTTCATTTAAGCACGGTCTTTATGAGTGTGGTAACATTGAGTTAGCCACGATTTATGTTATATTAGCCACATTATAGTCGTGCCTAAACGATTTGGATCCCAATGATGAAAAGTTTTATTTAGCCACAGTCAGAACCGTGGCTAATTGTAAGGAATTTTTTTAAAAAAATAAAAAATATTACAAATTTTCCCAATCATATAAAAAGCAAATAATAAAAATTGCATTTGATATAAGAACCAAAAACCAAATTAAGGGAAATAATCAAATAAAGTGGAGTACACAATTTTACACAATACATTATTTTTTTCTATTCATATAAGTAAATAATGTTTTTTACACAATTTCTCAAAATTCATAATTTTTTTCCATTTCATATAAGCTGAAGGAGTTTCCTTTACCAATAAAAGGAGCTAATCAAGTTTTCCACTTACATCATTTAAGAGAAATAATTGCCAAATAAAGCTAAAACTATAAGTTTGTGATTGTCACAAGACATCTATACAAAATATTAACTTCATTGTTCAGCTAAACAAAATATAACAACATATTTTTTAAATCTGTCTTCCAAGAATTGTTGTTGTATACATCCTATCCTTTTAAAAGGGCTCATCACCAATTCATACCTGTATAAAAAAAAATTAAATAAGATATGTTAAAATGTCACATAACTTTTCAATGTCTATCTTTTATGTTTTAGATAAAATATGAACAAACCTTAAAAGAATTAATTCTGTTAAGAGGAGAAGCGTAAACCTTCAGGCCCACCTATTCAAAAGTAAACCATTAAACAATAAATTAGTAAGCAATAGAAAATAAATATAAATATAATTAATTAAAAGACAAAATGCCAAAAAAGCATGTGAAGAAGCCTTCAAGTTAATTTCAGGTCCCTAGTAACCGAGCCTTTGTAACATCACAGGTTCCACATCAATTGGATCCCTGTTGCTGACTTTGTTAGTAGAATGGCCAGGGTAACTAGTGGAATCCCCATAAGCTTCAAACCCAGGTGCAGGCACAAAATAAATACATCCAATGTAATGCCTCAATTGGAAGATTCGAGTGAGACTCTAAAACAGTAGGTAATGATAAAGAAAACAATTAGAAATAACTTCAATCATTGTACTTCAAAGTAATTGCATTACAAGTATAACAAATGGGCATTGAATAACTGAAACAATCTATTGTACCTTTAAATACTATATCATTTAGTTAAATGAATAAATAAAAAATAAAACAAAACTCACATATTGTCTGCTAATGAATTAACAATAAGATTGACACGTTGGTCACATCACGATTGTGATCTATCATCTCCTTTATCCAAATTTCGGAACCTAATGGAATTGAAGTTCGAATATATGAGCCTCCAATAATAGCAACAAAGGAGTGGAATAAAAATTAAAAATACATAGGCCAACAATTATTTAGTCTTATTAAGATTTTAACCCTTTTTGCGAATGTGCACGAATCGGAGGCCATTTGTTTATTATTCAATGCCCAATAATTACATAAGAATCTTTGGCCCACTTCCTATGGCCCGATGATTAAATGCTATATCATTTATGTTCTTGCCTTCAATCCAAGTATTAGATAACTGAAACAGTAATCCATATATAGAGACACACATTTAATGAAAGAAAAGCGTCATAAATAAACATGAGATGGTAATATTATGACATGGCTTACTAACATAAAAATCTATACGAGCACTTCCCATCCACCGATGCTTTTCAGACTCAACGTCAATATCGGCCACCAGACCTGAAATAGAATAATATTTTCACTGGATATCATAAACATGTTTGAGTGAATCTCAGGGTTAGAACCAGAAGCAGGCACAACTGTCTTAGATGCTTGCATTGCATTTTGTGATGCCCTTAGGTCATAATAAGAAATCATAACAAACCCACAATGCTTACAGGCTGTGTAAATGGTTCGGATATCTCCATATTGTTGTCCGAACAAATATAATAGTCCATTTAAATAATATAATTAACGGTATGAAATACTTCCTGAGAATTCCAAAATAACATCTAGCAGCAAAGAAGAATAAAGACACACCTCAAAAAGAGCCTTCAGCTCAGAGTCTTCTACATTGCTATTAATGTTTCGAACAAAAAGTGTTCTAGAAGGCTGTTCACCAAAAGGAAGTTTTCCTTTAGAACCTCCCAAGAAAACAGAATCTCCATCCAGACCACTAGTACTTTTGCCTAAAGTCAAATGTTCATCTCCTTCTAGCTCCATGCCTCCACCACTGCTAAACAGATCAAAATCTTCCAAGTCATCATTTATTCTGGCAGGAGAACCGTATCCTAACTCATCAACCACACCAGAAAACAGATCATCTTCGTCAGGAAGGAGATTCCCTATAGTGTCAGCCTCCATTTCTTCAAGAGATTTATATGGTTCTTCCTCAGGAAGGGAACCAACAGTAATGGGCCGATCAGACAGAACATTATTCCTCGGTAACCTCACTGCACCAAGATATGCATATAAACACACAGATAAGGACATCAATTCAACTAAAGTAAGATCAGAAAATCTTAAACAAATAAATATAACTTTTCTGAGTGGGTGAGGTGGGGGTTGGGGTGAGGTGCCCTTCTTTTTTTCTGCTACATTGGGCAATAAAGCAAACATTTAAGCTAATATCCATTATCCAATGATGACAAGCAAAGTGATGCAACAGAATATTGTTTCCAAAGTATTAGAAAGATGAAAAGGCATCAATACTGATCACTTAACTATGCTGTAATACCCATTATACATGCATTCTCAGGATGCATGAAACAAGTTCTTACACTTTTGGTTAAAAATCTCAGACAGTGAGCTTGACAAACAATTGTGGCCTTGGATGGCAGAAAATTCCATTCCAACTCTATGTTTTAAATACCTAAAAAATGATTTTGGAATTCCATAGCTCTTGACATGGAAATTATGAAGAATTTCAAGATCTGTAAAAAAATATTCACAACTAATTGTGGGAAAAATCGAACATTAGCACACTTTTTCACTGAAAAATCTATCAACTAAGGATATTCATACAGAGGTAAGGTATATCAGTCTAATTGAAAGAAGCGAGAATCATCAAATTATTCATCATCATAACACTAACATACTTCTTTGGCGGCAGATTCTATCAACTAACCAAAATTGATACAGTAGAAGAAGCGGGAGCTCAATTACCATTTCTTAGATATGAACCTTGGCTGAATAGGAATCACAGGCCAACAGAACCATGCGTGTACATTTTCAACAGATTGAAATCAAGGATCGAGAATTGAACTTCAACTCGAACTATCGCACCCGATCTCTGGAGATTGAAACCGTATTCCAAAATAACATCTAGCTTAGAAACTGAAGGAAACAGTGAAAACAAAGTTCCTTAAATATAAAAAAAATAAAAAAATCATAAATTAGTTTTAAGCTATTGTTAACGTGACTAGCTCAGAAACTAAAATTGAACGAAAACGAAGCAAACATTGCACTCAAAATTAGTACAAATCTGAAGGAAAAACATATAGAAGAAGGAAAACTCAGATTCAGAGGTGAAGTTCAAATGGAAATCGGATTATGAACCTAGCTTGTGGAGGAACTGAAGAAGAATCGAACAACATATGAAGAACAGAGAGCGTAACATGGAGGAAATTTCACACCACCAATTGCATCTCCAGAGAAAGAAAAAGCAAGAGAGGGAAAGAGAAATAGGGTTTTGTGGTGAAGGGGAAAGAAATAGACTAACGTGTGGTCACGTGGCTAATGTACACTAGTCATTACATTAGTCATTATTAAATTGCAACGAATTTCAGTCATTACTAAATTGTCGTGGTAAAATGCCGTGTTTGGTGTAGTGATTAAATATATATCCTAAAATTTTATAAATAATATATACAAAACAAAATAACAAAAAGTTAAAAAAAAATGAAACACAACATACCTTTTTCGGTTGGCAGGGAAATCTCACAGAACATGCAGCGAAGAGAGTTCAGGTAGCAGAGAGGAAAGCGGCAACCAATTTAGATGAGAGACTTTAGAGAGAAGGAGAGAAAAATGCTGTAGAGAGAGAATGAAAATTGCATATGCAATGGAACAAACAAGATCTAGTGGCGTCAAAATTTTTGCTGCACTAGTGCCGTCTCGCCAAGTGACGGCATTCAAGTGCGTGGCTGACATGGAGGGCGGTTACGACAAACTTGGTGACGGGATTAATCATGTCAAGTCTTCCTACGGCATTGACTGCCTTACTTTGGTTAAACATTTGGAAAGTGCTTTAACTAAGTGTATCTTTGCATTAATGTTCTTAGATGGGTGCTTTTGCCTAGTTTTACGTTGTCACTATTTTTAATAAAAATAATGTCAAAATGTGTGTGTGTGGGATAAGTCTTTTTAATTGAATTATCCTTGTGATCTGGAAATATGCAGCAAGCAATTTGCTATTTTGTGAATTTGATGATCCTTCCATGACGGCCAGAGATATAATTGTTTCTTTGTTGTTTTGCCGCAGCAATGATCTCTTTATCATGTAAAGTACTATGCATATGCTTGCAAATATGTATAGGAAAAGGAGCATAATTTTTTACGGCAAGGTTACAGGTTAATGATATAGTCCATCGCCCTTATATATATATATATATATATATATATATATATATATATATATGCTAATTATTTCAAAGAGTTGAACTTATCGAGTTTGAGTCTTGGACATAAAAAAAAAGTGTTAGCATATTGTCTTGATATAAGTTTGATAGTGTTCAAGCCGGACTAATTAGGTTTTTTATGAATCAGCTAGAGGAAAAAGGAAAAAAAAAATATTAACAAAAAGTTACATGCTGTTCAAATACTAGTCAATATTTTCACTTCATGGCCGTGTTTACACAAGGACTTAGGTAATTCCTGAACTAACTACAGTTGTATATGTATGCCATTTCAGTTGGTCATCATGATGCTTTCGGCAGGCTATTTTAAAATTCGAAATGCTTTGCCTGGACCAGTACTGTGGATGTATCCAATGTCTTACATAGCCTTTCATATAAATACTCTATTCAGTTATTTAGATATATGTTTGTGTATCTTCTGCACTCACAGCTGCTAGAGAAATTACTTCTTCCAAAGACTATAACTTTTTATGTTTGTTTCTGATATTTGTTCAGATTTAACTTCAAAAACTAAGAGGGTCAAGCTCTGTATAATGAATTTCTAAATTCTGTAGAAGATCCAAAATCTTTTTCCCTAGATGGGTATTTATTGAAGGAATTACTTGTCTTTGTCTCGTAGGGGCTATTGGAGAATGAGTACCTAGGCACCTTCTCTGCAGCTGGGCAGGTAAGAACCATAGAATCTTTGGATTTCAAATTCTCCAAATTAAGTGGGTGCAATATCTCCCTCGACAAGAGTTCCAACTTCCAAGTGAGAAAATTTGATGGTTTTGTTTGTTATTCATGGCAATTGGTCATCGAATAAATTTGTTACTTTTTTGTATTTGTTGTTGCTCCTATATCTATCGAACATGCAAATTTGTTACCGTTATGTATTTATTATCACCGAAGGCAATCAGTATTACTTTCGTCGGGACGATATTACATATATTGTAATCCTATTCTTTTTTATCTTATTTATTTATTATATATTAATATTCAGATAAATATTAAATTTATTTACATGAAGTATAACATATTAGGTATACTTTAAGCTGAGTGAATATAACATAACATAACAGTTATTTCGAATTCTTAAATCTAAAAAACTACTGCCATTTCATTATAAAATTTATTTTTTCATGGCATATCCGCATAAATTAGAAAGTGACATAGTATTTTTTTTTGTTGACATTGTAACCTTTAATATTCGCCCATTTGGAGTCGCTCTCCAATATTCCCTAATGAGGCGAAGCTCGGAAGGTGCATTCTTCACGCAATCTCTCCTAATTTTAAATATAGCATGCCGATGATACAAAAGAAATAGAAAAAAAAAAAATAGTTATGTACCAATTAACAATAACAAGAAAGAAAGAAGAACCGTTCAACTTAGTAGATCACAAATTTGACGTCAATATTGATGATATTATAAAACTAACTTTCATATAAAATAAACCAAAATTCCTAAGCCTCTTCTTACCTCTCATTGTAAATTATGAGAGCTATAGCAAGCTAGCTCTAATTAATACTAAGCTCATATTCCTTCAACCCTTTTGCATCCCCTTCTTCACAAAAAATGACCACACAACAAAAGAGAAAACCGCCCCATGTTTCCTTTGTTTTCCTTCTCTTACTCCTGTTCATTATTGTCAAAGTCCAAGGTAGTTGCAACCTTGCTCTGGCTTCTTATTACATATGGGAAGGCTCAAATCTCACATACATTAGCAACCTCTTTGAGAAACCAACCTCAGAGATTCTGAAATACAACCCAAACATAAAAAACCCAGATGTTATTCAGAGCCAAACTAGGATCAACGTTCCCTTCTCATGTGAGTGTTTGAACGGTGTGTTTTTAGGCCACACTTTCTCTTACACAACCCAACATGGTGACACCTACACAACAATTGCTCAGGTTGATTTCTCCAACCTCACTACTGAGGAGTGGGTGAGCAGGGTCAATAGTTTTGCACCAATAATGATACCTGACAACGTCAAAATTAATGTCACTATCAACTGCTCCTGCGGAGATAAACATGTGTCCAAGGATTATGGGCTGTTTGCAACATACCCACTTCGGCTTGGTGATAGCTTGCCGGCGGTTGCGGCGGAATCCGGCGTGCCGGCGGAGCTGCTTCAGAGATACAACCCCGGGTCAGATTTCAGTGCTGGGAATGGACTAGTGTTTGTGCCGGCTCGAGGTAAGTAACAGCAATGTGCACTATGCAACCGGAAATTTATTATATTTTTTAGTAGGATATTCTCACGTCCGCATAAAAAATAATAAGTGTTTGACCATATTTTAATTATTAATTTATTTGCATCTCACGTTCAAATATCTAATATATAAATAAAAATTAATAATTAAGATTAAAAATATAACTTACACTAATATAAAATAATCTGAATATATATATATATATATATATATATATATATATATATATATTCTTTCAAGTCTATGTTAGGTAGCCTTTTGCTTGTTTACAAAACTGAGACTTAAAATGTTGCACTTATTTTATACCTGATAAAGACGTGTAAATTTTAATAAAGCATATATTTGATAATGATTAAAAGTAAAAAATAATATTTTTTGATTCTTTTAAGAAGTTGTAAAAAAAATAAACGATTATAATTTAAAATGAGGTAATTAATATAAACATGTATTATGTTAATAACTAATTATTATCATTCATTTAATTAAATAATACATATTATTAAAAATTTAGTATACCTCATTAATCAATATAAAACAGATATATGTAAAAATTCAGGTATATTTAAAAGAATCATTATTGGTTTGTTTGCTATGTAGCTCTAGTTTGGCTGCTTCTTTGTTTTCTTGTTATTGCCCTTGACCAAGGCATTATTTTCAAGACTGAAAAAGGTATAGAACTATAAAATTATTCGACATTTTCATATTCGATTCAGATTAATTTTCGGGGGAAAATTATTTTTTAAGGTTTTTATTTTAACTATTAATTATTTTGAATATAAAATATATTTAATTTTGATCAGATTTTTTTTTTTTCAGTTGCGAACAACTAATTAATGCACTAGTATATTCGCCTATATATAGAATTGTGGAAAAATTCAATCTAAATACAGAATTTAGGGGAAATGGCAGTAGATTTGTTTATATATTTTCCAACATTGATAACCTGACTGTTTATACGTCCGAATTCATTGAATTTAAAATACAATATTAAATCATTTGAGTATACCGTTTCGAAAATAAATATGCACTATTGACAAAATTAGGATAAATAATTTCTCCGGTCACTAGTTGTTTCCGGTAAGTCCAAAACGATGTTGTTTTAGGGCAGAAATTAAAGTGTTTTTGTAATTCTAATATATTGCAGGGTCATATTAGTCTTTATCATTATAATTTTTAATCTTATAATCCCAAAATGATATCGTTTTGAACTCACCGGAGATAACTTTATCTCCGGTGAATGTCGAAATACTTCTCCCATCAAATTAATGGAACAATATGAGTGCATAGCTCATTTCGGAATCAAAATATGATACGTCCAATTGTTTAAGTCATTATAGATTTTTTTTAATTTAATTATTTCCAATAATTATTTTTGTTTATGTCATTTGTATTGTGATAAAAATTGTATTTTGATAAAATATTATTGTTTACGCATACAATAATCTCATTGATCAAGAGAAGCTTGTTGAATAGTGAAGTTTTGTAAAGAAAAATAATTCTATAACTATGTATTGTCGGTAATATATAATTATAACATTGAAGTTTTTTTCTCTCTCCATATCAGCACAGCAGTTATAAGTTATAACTATGTATTAGTTAATCTAATATAAAATGGGAGTAAAAATATTTTTTATATATTCTGCCCGTATTTGGAAACATCAATCTTGACAGCTATTAAGTACAAAAATGAAAACTGCTAGATTTTTATTTTATTTTATTGAAGACAATCATCTGGATATAAAACAAAATAATACAGATCACACTTCGTTCATATGTTGTCACTTTCTTATGATTTTTTTGTCGATCAATTCATGATTAATAACCATTACAGATAGATACAGTAAAATTCTGAGAATTATTTAGTTTAAAGAAACTTCTTCGAAAGAAAACAAATAGACATAGGTCAGACTTGCAATAAAATTTGTCACTTTCTTGTGGTTATATTACTTATATATTATTGCCGATGATTTAAAAGTTATAACAACCCCGAACACTTGTGCTGAGGTGGATACCATGATGATAAAATTCCAAATTAGAAGCACATATATATTTTTTGTGGGCCAACCTCATTATTGATTATGACACATTAATCCAGTCTTTTGTATCATTATTAACTATATTTTTATCTGCACGAAAATTTAACTTGGATTGCCTAAGCATGTATTTCATGTTCAAAGGTTAGAAAACAATTTTATGTCTTCCTTATTAGGTGTTCCTCCTTACAAATTTTGGCACTATATTTTTAACGACAATACATTTGATATTATTTTTAATAAGATAAAATTAACATATGTAAATAATATATAATGATAAAATAGTACATGTAAAAAAGAGTTAAATGAGACTAACAAGAATTTGTATAGACTTGCCATAATAGGTAAAAATAAATGGAAGAAGAGTTCAGCTTAATTAGTTTGGTTTAGACCCAAAAGCACACACAGAAAAAAAGATGTTATAATTGGGAGCAAATTGGGGTAGCCCCAAATAAGTGTGGGAAAACGTCTAAATGACTATAAGTTGAAGAAAGTAGCTAATCCTCATCCAAACCAGATGAACTATTTTTTATTTTTTTAACTACCAACTGCTATTTGAAATCTTAATGGCCTTACTAAGGGTGTATTTGTATTGAGTTTTTAAAAAAGTTCTTTTTATCACTTTCTTATTTTAAAAGTACTTACTATAAAATTTATAGTTATTTAGATTTTTTTAAAAAATATTTGATTTTTGAAAAAAATATTTAGCTTTTGACTTCTGCTTTTTTTAAAAGTTAAAATTTTTAGCTTCCGAAAAAAGTAAGTTTTTGGCTTTTTTTATGACTTCTGCTTTTTTAAAAGCAGGTATCCAAATAAACTTTTTTTAAAAAGTGCTTTTTTTCCTTTAAAAAAAGTAACTTTTGAAGAAAAAAAAACCACCAAACAGGGTCTAATCGATTTCGAATTTGACGAGACTATATTTTGGGTCATGGAATCCTTTCCCCTATTGGAGCTCTTCCTGAACAAGGATGCATGATTTGTTTTTAAGCCTCATAGGCCCATCCCAAATAAATTATTCCAGAACCGCCTCTGCTTAAGTTCTAAACTCTGTATACGTTGGAGCAATGAGTACTGTGTTACATTCACAATTTTTTTCATTGTTATATACTCAACTAAAATAAGGTTATTATTTTCTTATATTTAAATCAATACACGAATTGGGATAATCTTCTTTACATGAATATTATAACTTTTGATTTTTATAATTGAGTGAGTGTATTAGAAAAATATTTTTTAAAAAGTGCGGGAGTAATATTTGTCAAATTTTTTGTAGTATTGGAATTACATATTTCCAATTCCTCTATATAAATGATCCAAGCACAAACAATCACCATGTACAGACTCCTGTGTAGGGACTAATATATATTTCCTGCAGAAAATTGATGTATAAATTACGGTAAAAAAAAAAAAAATGCAAGAATCATAATCTCATATAATTTACTTTGCTATGGAAATATTACAAAATGCATTTGTGGTCACTTATCACTTGACATTCCAAATTGGTCCCAGATGTATTCATAGAAGGAAGACACAACCTACAATTGATGAATTTGATAACTCTCATAATTGTTTGGAGTTGCTACTTGATACAGCTTTGCTTCCTGATGTTTTATACTTTTGAATCTTATTTTGCAGATGAAAATGGAAACTTTCCACCACTGCAGTTGGGGTAAGCTGTAATTGATATTACGTTTACATCCTATGTTGGCCATTTTGATTTGAGTTTTAACATTTACCCTTTAAAAATTTTATTTTGAGCTCTCTAACTCCATTATCTATACTTGTTTTTTCTACCCTTTTGCAGATCATCAGGTGATGTGGATATTGTGCACATTGCTGCTTCATAAATGTTTTTTTATGTGTAAAGAGTGACACGAAAAATCATGGTGGGTCATATTGGTATGACATGCTGACATAACATTGTTGTACCAATTTAATAGGAATATCAAGTGGAGCCATTGCTGGTATAGCTGTTGGAGGAGTTGTTGGGATCTTATTGTTGGCACTTCTTCTATATGTTGGGCTATATAGAAGAAAGAAATTGGCTGAAGTATCACATCTCCCAGTACCAGTAGCATCTGAAGATCAGTGTAGTCAACTCCAACATGGTATGTCTTTCTGTTTAAATGCAACTTAAGATAGAAGTAAGGCCTAATGCAGAACTTCCCTCTTTTTTGTTTTGATTAATGCACAATTGTTAGGCTCAAATTAGTGCCTCGCTAGAGTGCTGCTAGTTTGGTTAATAAAGTGGCACGAAGATTGGCAATACTTTTTTGTTGGTGAATGTTGAGTGATGTTTGATTACTTGTAATGTTCTACATTCCATTTTTTTTTTTTAATGTGAAATTATAAGTTATATCTGTTCCATTTAGGTGGTGGAAGCAGCTTGGATAAGGCATCAGAATCTTCTATTGTTGCTTCTTCAAGGTTGACAGGTATTACTGTGGACAAGTCAGTGGAGTTCTCATATGAGGAGCTAGCCAAAGCTACTGATGGCTTTAGCGAGGCTAATATAATTGGTCAAGGTGGCTTTGGATCTGTTTACTATGCTGAGCTTCGAGATGAGGTTTGCCATGCTGTTTATAATCTCTTTTAAAATGATGAGAAATAAGAAATGTATAGGTTCACCAAGAAAGAGTAATTACATATTGAATCTATTGGTAAATCCACTACTGTTGCAGAAAGATATTATTCCTGAATGCTCCGTTTCATATCCTCTGATTTTACTTTTTGGTCGAGATGCAATTCTAATCATTGTGGCAAGAACCAGAATTCTTGAGCTGACAGTTTCATGCAAGCAGCATAATGTCCAGTCATAGTGTATAAATATTAGGCATATTCACATACCTAAACTCATCATAAGCCAATTGGTCTTATTTGAAGACAAGAAGAAACCTATGAAAACATTTGGCTCTAGTTCACTGCTAATTACATACCATTGTGCTGCCCTACTCAATATTTTCCTTAAGCTTAAGAAAAATACTTATCTCTCTTTTTATTTTATTTTTCCCCCACAGAAAGCTGCAATTAAAAAGATGGACATGCAAGCATCAAAAGAATTTCTTGCTGAACTAAAGGTTCTGACGCACGTCCATCACTTGAACTTGGTATGAAATTTTCCCATCTGATATTTTTCAAATTTTGAGGCTTATAAATTGGTACAGTTATACCAAAAAATGAATAAAAAAAAAAAAAAGGAGGGAAGGAAACTATGCCAAAACTTATGATAAGGTTGATTTTAGTTCTTTTTTCTGTGGGTGATCAAGTGTTCACCTGTTATGTGTTCATTACTTGCTGTTCTATATATTTTCCCCCTTTGGAAAACTTTTAACTGCTGATTCAGTATTGTGGATTCCGGACATGCAAACCACTAGGACTTAGCTAATAGCCAGTGAAACTGTTCATAAAAGAAGAAGAAAAATAAGAATCTCTCTATAATTTAGGCCCTGCTACTGTCTGTTTATAAAACTATTATTGAGGATTCTCAACTAGTCATCCTGTGCCTGGGATCCTAACCTAGTTGTGTAATAACTAACAAATTACTTGCTTTCCAAGATATTTAAATATATATTATTACATATTTCCACAATCATGATTCCTTGGATATATTTTCTATGTAGGTGCGGTTAATAGGATATTGTGTTGAGGGCTCCTTATTTTTGGTTTATGAGTACATTGAGAACGGCAATTTAAGTCAACATTTGCGTGGCTCAGGTAAAAAAACACAGACACGCATACACTTACTCTTAGAATCATGCTGCATCATTTTGATTTCAAGACTCTTAATATAGTTACTTTCTAGAGAGGGATCCGTTATCATGGCCAGCTAGAGTACAAATTGCCCTGGATGCAGCAAGAGGACTGGAATACATTCATGAGCATACAGTTCCTGTCTACATCCATCGAGATATTAAATCAGCAAACATTTTGATAGACAAAAATTACCGTGGAAAGGTTTGCAAATACTTTTCCATATTTTTTATCCATAAAAGTTGAATGCCTGAGTCTAACTTTTTCCACAGGTTGCAGATTTCGGTCTGACAAAATTGACCGAATATGGTAGTTCTTCATTACAAACGCGTCTTGTCGGTACATTTGGATATATGCCTCCAGAGTAAGAAGCTTATTTATCCTTTCCTTTACTACTGAATTTTATGCTATTTTTGATTGAGTAGCACCTATTATTATGTTGTCATTTCTAATCTTAATGTGTATCTGAATTTGGAATTTGACTCATATAAAGTGAAGAGTAGACTTTACAAGATAAGTGTGGAATTATAATAGTTGATTAGAAAATTAACAGTTGAGATAGGTTTAGGACTGAAATTAGAGCCATAGTTACATTTCTAGACACAGAATATTGTTGTTAGTAAGTAGGACTCAAATTAGAGCAGGAGTTACATTTCTAGACACACAGAACGTGGGGTTATTAAGTAGGCCATCATAACTTCTCTATTTTACTTTGGATCTCACATCATTGGATTATTTCTCAACATGTTATATATTACTGTTAGAGATATATAAAACCATTAATGTAGTCTCACCCAAGAGCTTATGGGTTGAATTAGTACTTTACATGGTATTAGAGCCTCGTGTCCCGAGTTCGATCCTCGTCACCCCCTATTTTTTTTGTGGAATTTCTTAGCAGAGGTCTTTTCGAGTCCAATAAGCTCTCTTGTGTCTTGTGAGAGGGCATGTTAGAGATATATATAGCCATTAATATAACTTCACCCAAGAGCTTAAACTGTTGGGTTGAATTGGTTCTTTACAATTACAATACACTGGATGTATGGTTGAGTTACCCTTTGGTAGTTTAGGGTTTATGGTTAAGTTATTGTAATTTTATTTGCATGAGGTTCAAGAAAGACTAACCATTTTGACCAAGTGTAGCAATTTTTGTGTGTAGATATGCTCAATATGGTGAAGTTTCCCCCAAAATAGATGTATATGCTTTTGGAGTTGTTCTCTATGAACTTGTGTCAGGCAAGGAAGCTATTGTCAAGACAAACGAGCCTGGGAATGAATCGAAAGGACTAGTTGCCTTGGTTGTTTTTCCTGGCCCCTCTTAACTCATCACTAGTTGTAACTTACCTCACTTTTAGTTCTTCACTCAATTTTAGCTTGCTTGACTAAATGCAGTTTGAAGAAATTCTTGATCAACCAGACCCAAAAGAAGATCTTCGTAAACTTGTTGACCCTAGGCTTGGTGATAATTACTCTCTTGACTCGGTATTTAAGGTGATTCATTGTCTTATGAAATGCAAAGTTAGAGGACTAACGAATCAAAAGGGAAGTTGATAACTAGTGGTTTGTTTTGCTTTTCTTTTTCTTGCAGATATCCCAGCTTGCCAAAGCTTGTACACATGAAAACCCTCAACTTAGGCCAAGCATGAGATCAATTGTAGTTGCCTTAATGACACTTTCATCTGCAACTGAGGATTGGGATGTTGGCTCCTTCTACGAAAACCAAGCCTTAGTGCATCTAATGTCTGGAAGGTAGCTCGTAGGGTGAGTCATGTAACTCCTGAGGCTGTAGCACATTCCTTTGTGAAGATAGATTCCCTATTTTCTGACCACACGAGTCTTTCATTTCAACTGTGAATTTGTAAATAAAAACAATTATGTATCTTCAGATTTCCATTTTTTTTTTAAAGAAAAAAAAAACTTTTTTGTCTTCATTAATATTGCAATGAAGATTCAACTGCGTTGGATCAAGGAGTTACTACTCCCTACACTCCATATTTTGTTGTTGTTTAGTTAAAAATATTTGATTCATTTTAAGTAACCTTCTTACATAACAAAGAAGTATTAATTGTTATTTTTCAAATTGCGACCTAATGCTAAACAATCTCCCGAGTCTCAATTATTCATTGATTGGTGTGACATGGTAAGTGAATAAATTAAATATTGAAAATTGAGTAACTTAGAATAGTTAGCAAAGAAAATTCTTTATTTAGGCTTAGTTTTGCATACTTTTTTTAATATAATAGTGACACCCAGATCAGAATTTATGATCATGTAGACCGGCAAAAAATTTAAATATTACATTTTTAATAATTAATTACGAACTAAATATGAATGTATTGTACTCGGTCACGCTCAGAATTAGGCGTGACAACTCATGCTCACACCAAGCATGTTCCATGAGAGAGACACACTCAGCATAGGGCGTGACTTGGGAGGAAAGAGATACGCCCAGGGCCAAGCGTGACTCAGGAAAGAGACACGCCTATGTTGGGTGTGATCCAAGGCCTCTATAAAAATTTCAAATTCTCACTTTTTCATTTTACACTTTCTCTCTAAAACTTTGTTATGACTTCTCTTTATATTTTTTCTTGAGTTTTTTGCGCAGTCATTCAAGTAAGTCTCAATATATGTTTGCTTGACTAACAGAGCTTTGCTGCGCAAAAAATTCAAAGAAAAATCTAAAGAGAAGTCAGAGCAAAGTTTTTGAGAGAATGTGTAAAGTGAAAAAGTGAGAAACACCCCAGCATGAGTGTATCTCTCTCTTGGGTCATGTCTAACCCTGGATGTGTCTCTCTCCTCCCTTTTCAGGTCATACTCCATGTCGGGTGTGCCTCTCTCGTGAAACACGATTGGCGCTGGGCATGAGTGGTCATGCCCAATTCTACGTAATTGAGTGCAATATATTTATATTTAATTATAAAATATCTGTGTATTCGTAATTAATTATTACAAATACAATATTTAAAAATACAAAAATCAATTGGATGGTATCAGATCATACCAATTCTATTACATGGCCGATTTTGGGGTCGACCCGCGGTTCTTATAACATTGCTCTCTGCTTCTCTCTCAATGCTGGGTTCGAACTGATCACTTGAGGATTGAAGATAAACTCCAATCCAACAAGTAACTTGGGAAACCAGCAATTATTTACATTTGTAGTCCTTAGTCCTTACTTTTCTGGTTGTATTCACTTTGCCATGATAACTGCTGCGACGTGTTAGTTTACAATTTTTTAAGATAAATTTTTTGTGAAATTGAAAATTTTCGTTATAGGAATAAATAACTACGTGTGGAGATTCCACGAAATTATCAGCCCAGTTCTCTGAGTTTGGTCCCACCTCAATCAAATGAACACTGTATAGGAAATTCTAAAGGAAGATGCAAATGAATGAGCAAATTATCATTCCATTTAGTATGTTGATCTATTAATAGACCTGTTACAGTAAGTTGTTATGCTAGTAAGCCTACGATCAAGGGATATGAACAAACTAAATACATATAGCTAAGAATACAAAACAGAAACTGATCTACAGAAATTGATCCTATCCTATACAGATTCTAATCTTATCCTATACAACAAATCCAACAATCGATTGAATGTATCCTAATACTCCCCCTCAAGTTGGAGCATGGAGGAATGAGATGCCCAACTTGGATAACAAGTAGTCGAACTGTTTTCTGCCAAGGGCTTTAGTGAAGATGTCGGCTGGTTGAGAAGAAGTGAAAATGTGTTCTATTGCGATAGTTTTAGCCAGGACATGATCACGAACGAAGTGGCAATCGAGTTCAATGTGTTTCGTTCGCTCATGAAAAACTGGGTTGGAAGCAATGTGAATTGCGGATTGACTATCACAATATAACTGCATTGGCTTGGGATGAGGAATGCCAAGATCGTGTAGTAAAGCCTTCAACCATAGGAGCTCAGAGGTAGCTGCCGCCATTGATCGATACTTAGCTTCAGCAGAAGAGCGAGAAATAGTGTGCTGCTTTTTTGATTTCCATGAAATAGGAGAATTGCCCAAGGTAACGAAGTAACCAGTGATGGAGCGTCGAGTAACCGGGCAACTTGCCCAGTCTGAATCACAGTATGCCCGTAGAAGAAGATCACTGGTAGAAGGAAGAAGAAGCCCTTGTCCAGGGTTGCGTTTGATGTAACGCAAGACTTGCAGCACGGCATCGTAGTGTTGTTGCAGAGGGTGTTGAAGAAACTGAGATAGCGTGTGGACTGCGTAACAAAGTTCAGGTCTGGAAATTGTGAGATAGACCAGGGGTCCAACAAGACGACGGTAATGTTTAGGATCTTCGTATGCAGGTCCCTCTGCGAGTGCCAATTTATGGTTATGATCCATTGGAAAAGCAGCAGGCTTACACCCGAGTAAACCACATTCTTTCAAAATATCCAAGGCAAATTTTCGTTGGCTTAAAAATAATCCTGATGAACTATGAGCAAATTCAATGCCAAGAAAGTACTTGAGTTTGCCAAGATCTTTAATCTTGAAGCAACTTTGGAGATGTTGTTTGACTTGATCACAAATGGAAGTATTGTTACCAGCTAATATAATATCATCAACGTAAATGAGGACAGCAACAAATCCATCATCCTTATGGAATGTAAACAAAGTGTAGTCTGCCTTGGATTGATGAAAGCCGAAAGTGAGAAGAGAGGTTCTGAGTTTTGCAAACCAATTGTGTGGTGATTGCTTGAGGCCGTAAAGAGGTCGTTGTAATTTGCAAGTTGTACTAGGTGAGCCAGTAGAGAAACCAGGAGGGAACCGCATGTATACGTCCTCATCAAGGTCACCATGGAGAAAAGCATTTTGGACATCTAACTGATATATATTCCAGCCCTTCGCAACTGCAACAGATAAAAAGGAACGAACACTAACCATTTTAGCAACCAGAGAAAATGTTTCGTTGTAGTCTTCACCTTCAACTTGATTATTGCCAACAATTACTAATCGTGCCTTGTATCTCTCAATGGAACCGTCTGAATGATATTTGATGCGAAAGACCCATTTGCAAGGAATTGCTTTCTTGCCATAAGGAAGAGGAGTTACCACCCATGTATGATTGTCTTCAAGTGCTTGGATCTCGAGTTGCATAGCCTTCTGCCATAATGGATCCTTGACAGCCTCTTTAAAGGAACTGGGTTCCTTGGTAGCACTAACAGCAGCTAAAAATTTCTTATGCTGCGAGGAAAATACATGATTAGAGACAAAGTTTTCTATAGGATAAAGCATACCTGAGGAACCGTTGGAAGGAGTGTTGATTGAAGGGGGTGTAGTAGCTTGGTTGCATTGGTAGTCTTGAGGATATGCAGGTGGACGCTGAGTTCTGCGTGGCCGTGGATTATCTTCATAAGGTAGTATCATAGGAAGAGGAGAAAGTTCAGATGAAGGTGGTTAAGAACTCCCCCTGCTTGTGGACTGTGGTGCAGGTGTAAGATCAGCAGCAGTGATAGGTGCTTCAAGGAAATGAGAATCATCGATGATCACCGGTTGGGATTGTGGTGTTGTTGAAACAGATTCCTTAGCATCGAAAGCAAGTGGAAAAACATCCTCAAAGAATTGGACATCACGAGAAACAAACGTGTCATGAGTCTCCAAATCATATACCTTCCATCCATTTTTGTTAGATGGATATCCTATAAACAAACATTTTCTAGAACGTGCAGCAAACTTGTCCAATGGTTTGGGCAACACCATTGCATAACATAAATAGCCAAGGAGTTTTATATGATCGTAGGTTGGAGGTTGATTATAAAGAACCTCATAAGGACATTTACCCTTAAGAAGAGTAGTGGGGGTTCTATTAATTAAATGAGCAGATGTGAGAATGCATTCTCCCCAAAAGGAAATAGGAATGTGACCGTCGAAACGTAAAGCGCGTGCCACATTAAGGATGTGGCGATGACGACGCTCTACTCTTCCGTTTTTGTTGCGGTGTGTATGCACAAGAGAGTTGATGATGGAAGCCACGGTTGACAAAGAATGCATGAAGTTGGGAAGAAAGAAACTCAGCCCCATTATCTGTTTGAACGTGTTTAACTGGGAAGGTGAATTGTGTTTGCACCATTGTGATAAAATTAATTAATGTAGAACATGCCTCATGTTTATCACGTAAAAGATGAACCCAAACAAATCTGCTAAAGTCATCAACGATTGTAAGGAAGTATCGTGCTCCACAAGAAGAAACAGTACGATAGGGACCCCATAAATCACAATGGATTAAATCAAAAGGGTGAAAACTTGTCTTATTATTAATAGGAAAAGAAGAACGAGTTTGTTCGCCCTACAACAGACATCACATGGAGTCGTTTTATTCAAACTAGAAATGAAAGGAAGCAATTGTAAATAATGTCTTGATGGATGTCCCAAACGTCGATGTCATAGATCAGACGAAGCAGCATGTTGAACTTTATTTGCAGATGCGATTTGATGCAGTACGTACACCCCTTCATCCTCAACACCCTTGCCAATCGTCTTCCTCGTCTGTTGGTCCTGTAGAAAACAATGTGAATCAGTAAAGAGGGCAAAGCAATTGTTACATCGCAGCAACTGAGATATAAAGACTAGGTTGCACGTGAGTGAAGGCACAAAAAGAACATTAGTGAGAAGCAATAGAGGTGTGAGTTGCACATCCCCGCATTGAATTGACATTGTTCGAGTGCCATTTGGTAATCCCACGGAGCAAGGAGAAATATTACGAATATTAGTGAGGAAGGAGATAGTTCCTGTCATATGTTGTGAC